ACTAGCTCTTATAATTAAGACCGGAGGTAGTATAAACAGCGTTCATTCAAATTTTAAATTTTGCTTTTACTTTTCATCTTTACTCACTTTATTTATTTCAAGTTTTGTTATCAATTGTAAAATAAGTTATTCCCATATATAGATTGGAGCAAATTTGAGTGGGGTCAATAATTGAGGCCACACAATGAAACAGCCGCCCATATCCACATGCGAAATAATTGTGCCCTCCCTTTACCTACTTCCTGTCTCATTAATTCAACATCGACCAACTCATAAATTGATATTGGAGATGATAAGCAGTTTTACTTAGAGAGAGAATAATATAAGTTTAAATATTAAAAAATATGTTTATTGATGGGATTTTAATATTAATGCTTATGGCTTAACTGAGACTTGATTTGAAAATACTTTTAATTGCACAGAAAACATTCCATATATTTCTCATATTTTTTCCTATAATATTTAATTGTCCGACCAAAAAGGACCACAAAATAGAAGCCTACTTGAAATCAATGTCAAATTACATACACTGTAGAGCTGTTTGGCAATCCTCAAAAGTACTTCCACGAAATATTTTTTTACAAAACAAAACAAATTTCTTTACATATTTATTTCATAAACTGTAAAAACACTTTTGAAATCATAGTTTAGTTTCTATTTCAAATATTCCCGGCTATCCTCCCAATACTGAGAGAGATACATGACGTCACGTTTGTACCCTGTCGCATCTGTTTTGGTGCTTGCTTACATCATTGGGGAGTTGGGCTTTCTGTGCCCACAATTTCTGGATGACAAAGGTGGGAGATCATCAGGAAGGATATATCATTCTTGAGGTGGATATATGGTTAGGTTCTCATGATGGAATGGTAACAGTGGTCATGGTGGAATCGGTGGACACCATATGAAGGGTGATGGATGATACTACCCAAGAATAAATAATAACTAATTTAATAATATTAAAAAATTAGTTAAGTTATATATTTATCATAAATATGTATTAATCTCTTTAAACTATTCTTTTCAATCATATATGTTAAAATTATTCTCTGATAAGAGTCCTTCAAAATCAATAAGGATATTTTTAGCAGTTAATTATTCATAGAACTGACAGGTTTTGATTTTTCCGCCCACACTGAGGGGTTTTGGTTAGACACATATACGTAAAGGCGTATGACTTCTCTCCGCTGCGTCCTTTTCTCCGCTGCCCTCCTATACCTAAAACTGCAACGTTTTGGGTGGAAAATAGCGGTCAATGCTTCTTTTTCCTTTTTTTTAAAAATAAGATTCATTATCTTAAAATATTTTTAAAAAACACTTAATATTCTAAAATAATTTTTTTGATATAATCAGCACCGTAAAATATTTTTTCAATAACACTCAGTATTTCAAAAATACACTTAGCACTCAGTGTTATTGGAACCCAAAATTATTTAGGATACTACTGAAAAAATACTTTTAGGGTGCTTATTATAACAAAAATTATTTTAAAACTCTAAATGCTCCTAGAAAAAAATATTTGAAAGTGTTGAGCATATTTTTAGGATACCGAGTGTTACAGAAAAAATTATTTTAAGATATGGGGTGTTCTTGAAAAAATAATTTACGATATTGCTATTGCTAAAAAACACGCGGGAGAAAGAAGCAGATGGGTTAGCTTTGAAGTGTTTGGTTTCTTTGGGGCGTTTTTGGCATCCTAAATTATTCTTTTAATATCTTAAAATAATTTTTGGCAGTCCCATAAACTATTTTTTTTTAATAACATTCAGTATCCTAAAAATATACTCAACACCCTCAAAAGTTTTTTTTAGGAGCATTCAGAGTTTTAAAATAATTTTTTAGCACAATAAGCACCCTAGTACATTTTTCAGTAGTATACTAGTATCCTAAAATAATTTTGGATTCCAATAACACTAACTGCTGAGTGTATTTTGAAATACTGAGTGTTATTGAAAAGATATTTATGGTTCTGAGTATATCAAAAAATTATTTTAAAATATTGAGTGTTTTTTAAAAATATTTTAAGACAATGAATCTTAATTAGAAAGAAAGAAAGAAGAAGCATTGAACCCTATTTTCCACCCAAACGTCGTGGTTTAGGTATAGGAGGGCAGCGGAGAAAAGGACGCAGCGGAGAGAAGCCATGCGCATATGTAAAGATGGTCTAAGTTGTAATAAATACCTAGTGAAGCTATTACCATATGGTGGAGGATAACTTTTGCATCGTTTGACGAACTATATCACCTATTTGTCAATAACTGCTGAGCTTGATGAGAGAAGTTGGTTGTTATTTTGCCTGATTGCGGGTGTGTTTGGATGAAACCAAACCATGGTTTAGAGAATAGTTTTTGGACAATAGATTCTGGAAAAAATAGATTTTGTGAAAAAGTGATTAAGTGAGAGTGTTTGGATAGTTGTTATTAGAAGTACTTTTTATATGTACAAATTATTAAAAAAAACATAAGTTAATATGATAATTACATAAAACATAGATTGTATGATATATTTTAATTTGAAAGAATAAAATTGTTAATAATATATTTTTACTAACATAATTAATAATACATAAGATAATATAAGTAATAAATAATTAATATGTGTATATATTTATAAGATATAAGATTAAATATGTTTATAAAAAATTAATTAAGGGGTGTTAAAGTCATATTATTGTTGAGATTTACTCTAATAGGCACAATCATACTCTCCAATTTAAGCCAGAAGCAGAATGGATTCACTTTTCCCTGAAACCATGGTTTTGGGTTCCAAAATCATAATTTCAAATAATTTGTGCCTATTTGGGTTGTTTTTTTTCCCAAACCATGGTTTGGGTCTCAAACCATGGTTTGGCCTGCTATCTAAACAAGGCCTGCATCTCTTTTGAGGAATGATGTCCTGCTTTTAAAATGGTCTTGCACCCCTTATTTCATGCTAATAAATACTCTTTTATTCTATTTATAGAACATAGAGAGAATTTTTTTTGTCATATTTATACGTTACTTTATTAAATTTTACCGTGAATGTACTATAATGTCATTCATTTATTGTAGTGTAGATAGTTATTTTTTCAGAAGGTATATATATATTAAATAAGGATAAAATTGAAAAATTGTTATATCTTAATGAAGAGTTAATGCAGCTTAAAGTTTTTCTTGATTTGTATGAAACATGGTGAAAGTATCTTATAAATAGGATCAGATGAATATTTAAAACTCTCTCCCTAATTAATATGGATACAGATGGAAAAAATTGTCATTATTTATCCTGACAATTTCCTATATTTTGAGCTCTAATTTCGGGACGATATTATTTCTGATAAACCAAAACATGTTAAGATTCAAAATCAGTTTATAACGATAAAGTAGAGAGTGTGTGTGTGTGTGTGTTTTATTGAAGCAGTGTATCAAATCTAAAACACGCGCATATTACATATATATCCATATGCCGCCCGCCCCCCAAAACACGCAAATACATGTCAGAAGGGGATGGATTTTGGCCACTAAATCAAAGGATTTTTATAATTAATTAAATAAAATAGGCGGTGGCCTATGAGATATAAATAGTCTCAATATTATTAAATATTTATTGCCTAAGCCTCTTAATATTTTCTTTCAAGATGACAAATTCCCTTTACCAAAACCCTGAATCCAGGATCCTAACCAAGATGACCCAGACCTAGAATGTTCTGATTATTCAATTATTATTTGAATTCAAATATTTTATGTTTTAATATTTGAACCGAGAAGCATACTCTAGGTGGAAGTAGTAGAGTTTGTTACATTAATTAGTAAATTTGATGGGGGACGGGACTACACAGCTAATGAAAGAGCTGAGTAGAAATGAATAATGAAAAACTTCCCTACAAGCCTAATTAAACGAACAAATAATATTTATTTAATAAAAAAATTCATTGAAAGGAATTTGATATGTTCATGTTTTGTTTATAAATTATAATTTTAAATTAAATAAATTACTAAATCAAAGTTAATCATATGAATTCAACACATAATACTCCTACATAAATAGATGCTAAAAAGTTAAATACTCCTTTTATTTTATTTATAAGGTAGAAAGAGAATAAATTTGTTGATTTCATTTATAAGGCAGAGATAAGAGATAGAGAGATAATTTTTTTATATAAATATATAATTTTATCCTTCATTTACTACTGTGTTGACTTTAGTCTAATGAGACAGAGTATATGTTAAATAGGAATAAAATTAAAAAGTTAAATTTTAAAATAAGATTAATGAATTTAAGATTTTTTTTTGTCTATGTGAAATATCTTGAAAGTAATTTAGGTGCAGATGACTAATACGTATGGTATTAATTAACAATCAATGTATAATTAAGTCTACAGTAAAATTAATTAATTTTTTGCGGAAGACAGATACCGTCAAAAGCATATCCGTCTCCTGACTCTGCTCTCTGTTTTCCAACTTCTTCATGGGTTAGGCTTCAATCACATAAAGCGGGCGGCTTCATACGGACAGTTATTACTAATAATTTATTAGCTATGAATCACGTTCCATGATCCTTTTGCTTTTCCACTGACTTTATTCTAATCAGCCTCTTTCTTTCTCAAAATCCGAATACTGACCCTTGTGCTGCCAACTTTTTGCTTCCAAATCATCTCTCATTTTTTTAATCCCAACCTTGGATTAGAACACTGACTCTGCATCGACCACGCAGTACCATGCTATTAATAATATTTTCAGACGATCAAATCAAGACAAAGAATACCAAAGTATTCCCTACGGGAACATGTAAATTCTAGTAATTTGGTAAATTCTTCGTATTGTGTTTTTTCATCACGCTATACACACGCATATGCATATTTTATATATAAAGAACAAAAATTCTTCATCCCATTCTAGCCATGATTCTGAACAAGAGCAGTGAACGTTGTTTTTCCTCACTTCTTTATTTAAGCGACATTCGCCATTGTCGGTTAGTTCAGTACTTTAAACAGCTCCTGTCTCTGCTCTGTTCACATAATATTGATAATACAACTGGATTCCTCACTGTCCTCACTGCTTCACGCTCAAAATCCAGCCTTTCTCCAAAATTGAATCCATATATCTATTTCCTTCACGCCTCTTTTCATTTTGTTCTTAGGATCTACTTTCCGGCTTGAGCTTTGCAAGAAAGGGTGAATTTTTTGTTTTTTGAAAGTTTGGTAAGCATAAGTATGCCATTCCATAGTTTCTTGAATTTCAAACTTACACACGGGTGAATGTAATGGGTTGCTTGATTCCACAGCAAAGATCCCTTACTCTGAGAGATTAAACGTCGCCATCGTTAAGCTCGAAGAAGTACGATGATATTATAGACGCAGCCAAAAAGCGGTTGGGTTGAGTCTCTGAAATCAGAAGGGACAAAGACACTCATAGTAAAATGAAGGCTTAGTGGAGTCGAGTGTAAGAAAACGGGAAAAAAGCAGGTATTAATGTTGTCATTATCACCACCGGCCTGTTGGCCCAGTGGTGTGGGTGTGTGCGTGGGGTGTGTGTAATGCGGGTTCGATCCCGCCCTCCTGTAACTAAAAAAAAAAAAAAAATTGTTGTCATTATCGCTTTAGGAAGGTGACGTTAATGCTGGACCATATTAGGGCTGAGCAAGGGCGGGGGTGGGCTAACCCGAAGGTTAGCCCATAGCCTGCCCATTTATTTATAAATAGGCATAGGCTAACTCATAACCCGGCGGTAGTAGCCATATTAAATGGGCTACGGGGCAGTCCGTTTGGGCTGATCGGGTTATGGGGTAACCCATTTATTTTTTAAATTTTTTTCAGTATAATTATTTTATATATGTAACCTTATGAAGCTGTCAATAAATTTTGCATGCCAAATAGCAAATCAAATATGAAATAACATCAACCATATTCAATCACACAACCTCACTTAGATTTGCAAACAATTAAAGTCTGATAAAATCATAAAAATAGTCACCAATCATAAAGTCTCATAAACTTTGAAAGTTCCAACTTTTACCTAAAGGATAAAATAAAAACTTAGACAAATATGATGAAGGTTTGATAAAATATGAATGAGAAACAATATCATCTATTAAAGAAAAAAAATATTTTAAAAACTTAAAATTTAAAATAGGCGGGTATGGGCAGCCCAATACCTTGCCCATAGCCCAACCCGTTTAATGGGTTACCCCGCCCATTTAAGCCTGCCCGTTTATAATTTCTTATTTAGGCTAATTGGGCGGGGTTTAAATGGAGGGCAAAAATTTCATGGGTTATGGGCGGGCTAGCGGGTAATGGGTTTGTTGCTCACCCCTAGACCATATTGCTGCTAGAGATAGAGCATGTTCACCTCTCATGGGCTTTTACATTTGCATTCATTGATGCACATGACTCTGCCTTTTAGGTGCTCTTTTGTGTGCGTATCTCTTTCCTCAATTGCTTCCAAGATTCTATTCTTCCTTTTCTGGATTCACTTTGATTTTTACTTGGGAAAAAGTGTTTCTCCATTTTTAGTTTCACTTGGTTTGTTTTTCCTGCAAAACCCACTGATTATGATAGTGGTTTGTTTTTCCTCTAATTTCGCAGCTTTGCCCGGCGCTTCCAACAGGACAGGAACATATATACAAGGAAAGAATTTCATAAGGTCGGCGGGCCGTTAGAAAAATTTGGTTTCCTTTCACACACATACAAAAGAATGAATTAAAAAATGATTCACACTTAATTCATGACGAGTGTGAGTGGAAAAGGGAGTGTCTTTATGCGTAAGAAGTAAAGGAGAAGAGTAAGAAAAAATGGCTACTGATCCTTGACATCGGCTTTACTTGCGTGGGCTCGAGTTGATGAGTTTGTAACTGTCGCCTAATCACGTGCTTGTGCCTTTCGGTCACTGTCACCTAAATGCCTTCTTGTTGTTCTATCTTCATCATATGAGGATGATCCTACAGATAATTCATTTCTACAATTAGTTCTTCAACCTAATGCTGAATCATTTGTGCTGGACTTAAATTGAAGGGGATCATTATTAAGGTGCTTGCTTCTTTTCATAAGCCAGAGATAAAAAGGTAACGTGGGATGCACTTGCGCTTGCCTCTCCCTATCTGAACGATACTAGTATATCTGAACAACAACTTGCGAATTCTAGCCCAACCTACCCCACCATTTTCTTATTTATTTTGCCTCTCCTCGTTCCTCACTCACTCATTCACGATTCCCATTTGTTTTATTCATATGAGAGCTCGTTCTCTGAGTTGCTGTCGCCTTG